GCCCCGGGCCGGCGCGCCCCCGGGGCGCAGGGACCCCCGCCCCCGCCCGCTTACCCCGACCTCCTCGGCTGCCTCCTCCGCCTCCGGCCGCTGGACCCCGGACCCACAGTCCGCAGCCACAGCTCTCAGCTGATGGGCGGTGGCTTCCAGACGCCCACTGCGCATGCCCGCGATACGCCTGGGAAGGAGGCGGCTCCTCCCCTCCCATTGGCCCGCGGAGCTGAGTGACAGCCCTGTCCCGCCCCCTCTGATTCTAAGCTGAGTGATGGGGGGACCAGCAAAATTGCAGAGCAGGTGTTCTTTGAGGCCTGACGTGCCGAGGGGGAACGCCTCACCCTGCGTGCAAAAAACAAGAGGAGGGAATGCAGGGGAGCTGTCTTCTTTACAGGGTGATGCCAGCCTCCTTAGCCTCGCGTCTTCTGCCCGCCCCGTCAGCTCATGCCTGCTTTGTTGGCTAACCCTCAACTGCGGTAGACTGTATTCACAGCGCCATAGAGAGTGCGGGCGCAAATAGGCAACCCCAGCAGGAACAATGAAGGAAAAGGGAAATCATCACCGTGTGCTCGCTTGGTAGACAGGTGTTCGTAGCACATACAAGTCATCCTTGAAGGGCAGGGCGCAGTTTTCACAGTGTTTGAAGAGAGCAGAGAATGTTCTCGTAATAAATGCAGTATTCAAACAGAATGTAAGTGTTAGATAAACAGCATCAAATGCTTCAGGTGAAAGAAATACCTCAGCAAATTGGTTAGAAGATAGATTGGCTTGGCTTTTGCCTGTATTAAGGCAACACTATTTTCTGAAAGGATCATCAGGACGTCAAAACTCCAGATGCACTTAATGGAAAAAAAAAAAAAAAGAGCATTTTGAGTTGAGCAAATTCTAGGTTGTTTGGAATTATACATACATATATATTCATAAGTAAGGTCAGCCTGGGATAAGAAATACAAGGGTCTCGCAGTTTGTTTTTCATTTTTCTACTTTTAACAGAGAAGTGGGAAAAAGGAATATTTCTTTCTCCTCTTGACTGAAGAAAACTACACTGCAAGTGTGACAATGAGCAGAGACTTACACTCTGCCTCGGTGGGGAGGGGGCGATGGACGGAGGTGCGCACACTGGCCAAGTGGAAGGCACACACCCCATCTTCAGGGACAGCAGGATTCAGCTAAAGCTGATTGCAGACTTTTAGGAATACTGGCCCGATACACAGTAGTCACGTTTTCTGCCTTGTCAAAATACAGTGGAAATTCAGATTTTTATGTGAAATCTCTCCTTTCTTCAATATTCTTAAATTTGTATAATATATTCTGTGATCAGACAAAATATGTGTTTCAACCTCTATAAAAGGGAATAGTGTCAACCACAGAGTGTGAAAGCTGGGGAGGCCCTTACAGAAAATCCAGGTACACTCCCTCACTTCACAGATTAGAGAAACTAAAACCCGAGGAAACGCCATCAAAATCACACAGAGAAGTATATAAGCAGCACAGGTCCAGATGACCTAGTTCGGAATCTTGAGTTCTTCCTACCATATCACTCATTCAGCAACTACTCCCTGAGAACCTGTCATCTGTCAGGTACTGTGCCAGGCACTGCAGGTATGAAGATGGGTAGGGTACAGTGTTTTCTCTCAAGGAGTGAGATCCTTCCCAGGACACTGTAAAAGGAGCTATGATAAAGATTTGTACATAGCACAGTGAGAGTCCAGAGACGAGGATGCCTTACTGTGGGGTCAGGCACCATTCCAAAGGGAAAGTGTTAACAGAAGCTTGAAAGATGTGCAAGAGTTCACTGAGAAGACAAGATGGGAAAGGACATTTCAGGCAAAAAAAGAAGCACATAAAAATTTATAAAATCATAGGCAAATGCAAACTCTTAGGGATCTCTATATGTTTATTTAGATAAACTGTAGTCAGTGGATTGGAGGGATACGAGACTGGAAAGGCAAATAGAGTTTATATAGTGAAAAGCCTCTATACCATGTTACATGGGTATCTAATAGGAGATAAACCTAAAGGATTTTCAGCAATGGTGTGATGTCCTCATAATTCTATGTTATGATGAAAACTCTGGAGAAGTGGGGGAAATTAAAGGGAAATAGAACTGAGACTGGAGGGAGGGAGAGAGAGAGGAAGGGAGAGAGACAGAAACTGCAATCACTTAGAACACTGTTGCCATAGTAGCATCCCTCAATGAAGAATCTCCCCAATATCAGAGCTGTTGAAGGACTGCAGTAAGGCAAATACACTGGAGAAAAAGGAGTGAGGACGGCTTTAAGAAATATTTAGGAAGACTCAGAAATCAATTAGTGGGGCCGGCCCCGTGGCTTAGCGGTTAAGTGCACGCATTCTGCTACTAGCGGCCCGGGTTCCATCCCGGGCGCGCACCGACATACCGCTTCTCCGGCCATGCTGAGGCCACATCCCACATACAGCAACTAGAAGGATGGGCAACTATGACATACAACTATCTACTGGGGCTTTGGGGGAGAAAAAAGGAGGAGGATAGGAGGAGGATTGGCAATAGATGTTAGGTCAGGGCCGGTCTTCCTCAGCAAAAAGAGGAGGATTAGCATGGATGTTAGCTCAGGGCTGATCTTCCTCACAAAAAATAAAATAAAAAAAAAATAAATAAATAAATAAATTAGATATGGAGAATGAAAGAGATGACTCCTACTCTTAGGACACGCAAAACTGAGCTGAGCATGATATAGCTTACTGAGATCCAAGACTACTAACAAAGCAAGCAATTGTGGTTTGAGGAAGGAGCTGGTGAAATGAGGGAGTGAAGTGACAATAAGTTGAGCTTTGGGTGTGTTGTGTTTAAGTTTCTGGGGAAGGGACATCCAGTTTGAGATGTCCAGTGTCCTACAGGTACTTGAAGGTGTGAGCTGGTGTTCAGGATAGAGCTCTGGTTGGCATCGTGGGAACAGATGAGCTCACTAACTCTAAGGAAGGAATGTTATGGACTTTCTGTTTTTAAGGGAGGGTAGAGAAAGAGAAACCCTGAAAAGGAGTAATCAGAGACATAGGAAGTAAACCAGGAAAAGGTGAACTAGAGAATGAAGAGGGAATGTTCCATGATAGCACGTGTCACAGAAAGTTCAAGTAAATTAAGAACTGAAAGTTGTGTATTGGACATGAGAAGTAAGAAGTGGTTGGTGAACTTAGGAAGAGGCATTTCAATCAATCAAGGAACTATCATGCAAAGAACTTACATCTACATAAGGTCTGGTACACTTTCCAAACATGCTTTCAAGTTACCTTTGCTAGAACCCTGGGCTGTGGGAGGGGAAGGCATGGTGCCCTGTAGAAGAAGACCCTGAGGCTACGTGGCCTCTCAGGTTACCCTGCTGGTTACTGCCTGAACTGGAACCACAGCTCAGAGCCTCCTCCTGGGCTCCTTCCAATTTCTCATGTCTTAAAACATGTTATGAGTGGATTCCTCCAGGTCTTTTGAAAATCTGAGAATAAGACTTCACCCCTTTGTAATCAAATGGAAAAAAATATAGTTTAGGTAAGCCTGCAAAATTTAGAGGCATAGAAGATAAATAAATTCCAAAAGAGTTCCTAACATTTATAGTATCCCTTCTTTGCATCTGCCTGCTACTTCGTGAAATTCAGCCAGGGGCCTTGAACCCAGGCAGGGCTCAAAAATTCTGCTCATTTAACAAGTAATCATTTCACTTCTCCCCGAACAAATCCTTTACTCTCGCAGGAATGACCTGTGTCTGAAGACTTGTAATTTGGCTTTTCAGACCCAGTAATTTTGGGAATTTGGGTCTTCTTGAAAAGATTTTGAAGTGCAATCAGAAGTCAGTCAAGTGGTAATTGTTAATAATTAAATAAATAATAAAATTAATTAATGATTACTTATTTGTACAATGTAAAGTAGTTTCAGAATTGCTAACTCATATTCCTATGAGAGAAAAAAGCAAAAAACCTTGAGTACAGTGTTGATGGAAAATTCTTTTTGTTTTTAGCCTTACATTATTGAGTTGAGACAATGTTTTCCAAAATTAACCAGATCAGTTCTTTTCCCTACCCCATTCAGTGAAGTTATGTTTTATGTTTGTATTGCATTTAGATTTGTTTGTCATGTGTCTGCATTTCATCTGGGGTTCCTCAAACGTACTAGTTGATTTTTTTTTTAATTTGCATAAAGTTCACACTTTGTGGCACATAGTGCTATGGATTTTTGACAAATGCATGCAGTCATATATCCATCACCCCAATACCTTTGTGGGAGATCAAAATTTGGCCACCCTGCAATATATCTCTTTACCTTGATTGTTTTCTCTGAGGGACATTTGACCTCTCCCACTAACTGCCTAAAGAATTTGACTTGGTGGCTCCTTCCTGGAACAGATCTTCTATCATCATGGCTGTAATGATAATGTAAAATAGATGTTACAATGGGAGGGGCACCAAGCCCCTTTTATCAAAAAACTCTCTCTCTTCCTGACCACATTATCTATAGATGAACCTGAAAAGAATTGTCTTCTTGCCCTCGGAAGTCCCAGGCCACTACCCACCCCCAACACCTTCCTCACCTTTAGCTACAATACTTAAGCTAAGCAGCTTAGACAGAGGGATGAGTTGCTCATTTCTGAGTTTCTCCCATGTATACATGTTATTAAACTTGGTATTATTTTCCCCTGCTAACCTGTCTTGCTAATTATATGGCCAGCCATAAGAACCTTAAGGGAAAGGGCAGAGGGGGATTCTCCCTCTTCTCCCACACCTTACAGGACAGTTTCATCATCCTAAAGATTCTCTTTTGCAGTAACTTTTAGCTAACCACCTCTCCTTCCCCAACTCCTGACAACCATTCATGTTTTCTGTCTCTATATAGTTTTGCCTTTTCCAGAATGTCATACAAAGTGGATCATACAATATGTAGCCTTTTAGGTCTGACTTCGTTCACTTAGCAGAACTTAAGATATTTAAGATACTTCCACATTGTTGCATGAATCAATACTTTGTGGCTATTTTTTTATGGCTGAGTAGTGTTCCATTGTTTGGATGTACAATTTATTTATCCATTCACCTATTAGTTGTTTCCAATTTTTGGCAACTATGAATAAAGCTTCTATAAATATTTACATAGAGATTTAGATAAAAAATATAATTTTTCACTTCACTTGGGTAAAGATCTAGATGGGGGA